TAGCAACCTCAGGAAACTGTTACCATCTCCCAGAAAATTTTACCAAAGCCCAGAAACCAGAGCCATCTAGGGTTAACTCAACCACTGTGGGAGCAGCACAGCAGGTACTAGAACTACAGAGGAAGGGACTGTCCAGTGGGAAATGGAGACACAAAGAAGACACTGGCCAGTTAGAGGGAGAAAGGGAAACACTCTCTAGTTTAACTCTTCCTCCTGCTCTTCTATCTCCCATCAGTGCCTCTCATGGCCTAACCTAGCTACAAGCCAGCTAGTAAGAGATCCTGGGCAATTTTGAGCCCCTCTGAGAGTTAGCCCATCTGCAATAGTGAGTAGAATAGGAGATAGGCAGAGAATGGATCTAAGAGTTAATAAGCTCTTAGTGATTAGCTCACGGCACTAAATTTTTTAATGAATCCTGTAGTTCATAAATGCAAACACAGTATCCAAGGCAGAAATGATAGAAATCTAATATGTAGAACTTTTTGTCTGGAAATATATTATGATCCTGTTTTATAATTTTTTAAGAAATTTGATTTTGATACCTAAGGACAAGCTGGGGGCATAGGCAGAGTAAGTAACCCCACCTCATTTTACAAATGACAAAACTGTGACTCACAAAGTTAATGACTTCCTTAAGATCAAACTGCAAGACAATGGATAAACAAGACTTCCTGAAAAGATGCCTTTTCCTTATTTTGCACTGCCTTTTATGAAGCTCCTTTGAGACGCTGTCATTAAAAATTTAAATAATAGGTCACCCAGAACAAACATTTATTTCACTTGTAGGTGAATATCCCAAAACACATTTTAAAAAGAAATTTAACCATATTCAACCTTAAAATTTTAATGATAGGTCTATGCACTCACTTTTATTTTCCAAGTTAAAAGGAGACGTTTAGAGAGCCATAGCATTTGTAGACAATGTCAGTAAAACATGGAGCTGCTTACTTTGCATTCAATAAGGGCTCACATTGTAGTGAATATAGTTTGATTCCTTAAAAACAGTAGTAGAAACCCTAGCAGTAGTAATAATGATGGTTATGATGATTATAATTATAGCTAATATTTATTTAATGCTTTGGGTATGCCAGGCACTTTTATAAATGTTCTCCCTGAATTTTTTAAGTTAATCCTTATATCACCTTTCCAGGTAGATACTATTAATATTCCCATTTAATAAAGGAGGAAACTGAGGCACAGAGAAGATAATTAACTGCCCTATTGGTCACATAACTACTAAGTGATCAAGCCAGGATTCAAATTCAGAGGCTCATTCTAGTGCCCAGACTTTATTAACCAGTCTTTCTCTTCCTCCCCTCTTTTCTCCCATGTAGGGTTAATATCCTGAAAATAAGTTCTTGCAAATAAAAAATTAGAGAAGACAAACATTAAAATAGAAAAAAAAATAATACTCAAAATTCTTGAAATTAATTCAGGTCGTCTCATAGTCCACAATCACTTTTGTGCCTGAAATACTGAGTATAAATCCGAGCCCATATTACAGCAGTATCATATTAGGTTTGAATATGAAATATTTCTTCCCTGGCTGGGGACACAATCTTTTGGGGATTTAGTGTTTTATATTTTTCATAAAAAACACACACTCACACACACACATACACACACACACAAATATATACACCCACAAAGTCAATCTTTTTTTATAGGCTAGTGTTCACAGTATTTTAGATTTCTTCACACACCGTGATCACCACACAAACAATTCCCTGCAGTGTACATCATTGTAAATGGAATTCAGAAAGAGAAAAGAGTGTGTGTGAAGTCTATTGTATTTTTGAATTTACACTCCTTCTGAGGTCTGGAGTTATTCCAGTAATAAATTTCACAGTGGTAGGCAAAGCTGGTCAAGGTCATTGTCCGTAGTGGGAATAACACTTGGGTAAAGCCCAAGGTGATCAGCATATTACCTTAGGAGAAAGAGAAACCAGTCCATCTGATGAATGTCTTTATGAAGGGAGAAAAGAAAGCTGTGGTTGAGAACTTTTGTGTTTAGATAAGGGCCTTAGCCCTCTCAATGTTAGTCAAGGTCAGTGGGAGTTTTTCTTTTTAATCCTACATCCTCGCAAAACCTGGGCAGTATTCAGTAAGGGTTAGCGCTCAGTCAAAATTTCCGTAGGTATAAAAGTCTTAACTTCCATTGTGAATACAATCTTGGAGAAGAATTTATGGCATGCACATTTTTGCCTTTCAAGCATTAAAGTATACCAAAAAGCCATGGTTTGAAGACAAGCCTCACCCTTTTACTACCTTTTTACCATAAAGTCTCTACTTTAGCTTGCTATTTCCTTCAGCAATTTTAGAAAATTCTGGCATACTTTGTAACTTATAATTTTAGGTATTTTTTATGATCTATAGGTTATTTTTTAGACTCATTGGTACATCCTGTACCTTCTTTTAATTTTTAACAGTTTTATTAAGGTGTAATCGATATACAAAAAATCGCACATATGTAATGCATACAATTTTATGGGTTAGAGCACAGGAATATGCCCATGGAACCACCTAAGAGTATATTCTCTTATATCTAGACTTTTCAAATAGCAATCTTTTCAAATAGCAATGAGTGAAGGGTGGCTTCCAAGATTATTTAATTTGTTTAGGGAAAGTAAATGATTTTAATTTTATAATTGTTAAAACTTTTATTTTTATTTTGTATTCCTAAGCCTATGCATATATGCTCTGATGTTTGTTTATCATAAGTACTTATTTAACAGTTGGATCCTTTTTAAAAAGGAATAGGTTGGAAAAAGGTAACCAAGTTATTGGTCTCAGTTTTTTTGGTGTTTATGCTATCAATTAGAGATTTAATAGATGACAGATAATACAGAAAAGTATAAAAGGAAAGGTAGGCATTCCACAAGGATAGATTTTAATTGCTTTGGATTAGCAGCAACTATGCTCTGTACCTTTAGAAACTGTTCTGCTTTTGTACAAAAGTCAGTGATATTGGCTTTAGCTTCTTGCTAATATTAATAGTTTGGTAATATGTGTCTATTTGCTATGTGCAGTAAATGATATTATTTAGTTTGATTCTAGAATAGAATGTTCTAGTTAAATGAGAAATGCCAGATTATACACAGATTTTATATTTTCAATTATAGGAGTCCAACCAAACACACTGAAATTACACTAAGAGTACTGGTGTTTGATTTTTATTATATAAACATCATGCTAATGCAAAAGGACAAATATTAAAACAAAATGATTTTCTTTTTAGAAACATGAATTGTTTTCAATTTCTCCTGTTCCCCTTCTACTTCATGACTATGTATTCTTTCAGAATGAAGAAAACACAGTGTAGATAAAAATTGCTTTCTGTTTTTACACAAGAAGATTGTGTTTTTTACAGTTATTTCTGTGTGCATTTTCTACATATTGAACCATTGGATTGATGTATTGTTCTTTTAATATCCCTACATTAAATATTGAAATTGTTTGTCTTTTT